GGTTGTGTTGAGTATTTAGGATACAATCATATCTGCCGCACTTCCAAGTATGCGGTTCCCTTAGATATTCTTTTATATACACGGAAACCTCAATGTGCCATTTTTTCTTTATTTCCTGGTTTAAATGTTCATTTAAAATTGAAAATTTAATGTGTATTTAAAAAAAAACTTGGACCATATGAAACCTCTGTGGGCATCCCTGTTCAGAACCCTTTCTTGAGCTTGACAGTTCTTTTGACATCATCGTTCCACCATTTTGTTTTCTTGGTATAGGGCCATATTTTTTTTAATTTACATACTACACTTGCTGTATTGAGTATGCACAATTACCATTTGTAACTAATTAACAAAATAAATAAATGGTTATATTAGATTTCATCTTCGATTTTAGTGGATTTCCAACTACAATATTATTTGTTTTAGAGCATATCCCTCATTTCCAAAATACACTTTCGTATTATTTCAGCATCTCTGCAATGAGACGCCCCGAAAATCACCATCATTCAAAAAAATATCTTCAACTTATAATATAATGCTAAATATTAAAAAAATAAACATAATGGATGTTAATCCAACAATCTTGTTATTTTGACATGTTATAGATGGAGGTCAAGCAAAACGATAAAATATATTCGTAGGCCACCTTTTACCTCGATTTTCAAGTGGAAAGCAAATGAGTGTTCATGAATTTTTAATAATTCATTAAATAGACAATGTTCACTGATCTCCAGTGTTTATCAATTCCAGTGTTTATCCAATTCTTAATATCCATAACTAAAAGATATAATATATAATTTTAATTAACGGCGTTAATGACCAACAGGTTTTACGCCTTTACTATAGAACCAACCGATCTCCAGATTGAAAATGTCTCATTTCCAGTCATTTTCGTCAATAAAAGAGTTTTAGTTTACGTTAAGATGAAGACCTCGTGAATGGGTTTTAGTCGGATATTAATAATTTGATGAAGAGCTAACTAGTACTCTATCGCGAACTAGTAAATATGTAATGGCATACATTATATGAGTTTGGTCTTCATTTCAATAAGTGTTTTCTAGTCTAATATTTTTAGACGTAATATCCAGATCGTACAACTAGCAATTTTGAGTTTGTATTTATAGATTTCCCTAAAGACATAAAGATAATCAATACAGTTTATCTTCAAGACCTCAAACAGTCGTAAATGGGTCACTCTTTCCTTTTTAGTCTGAAGATGCTTACTGCTTCTTTTGGAATTTGATGCAGTTTAATGTCCTATTTTCGAATTGTCTTTTTATGACAGCATCTGTATCTAATCTGTCAAAGACCTCTTTAAAATTTATATATATTATATACAGTGGCATGTTATATCAGGTTTCTTCGTTTAATATGTTATTTACCACTAAAATATTGTCTAATGCGTAATGTTTTTTCTGAAAACTACATGATTTGGTGAGAAAAATAGATCAAATGAGAATATTTAGTCATATTATATCGACTATTATATCATATGATATTGGATAGATGGATTATCTTGGTGACCAGTGATAATACAGTTTCCAGCCAATCGTGTATGTATCACAACGAAGTTTATCCACCGGCGATGTGATATCATCAACATCTGTATGTTCAATAAATATTAGTCTATGATATAATTCTATGTAAAATTAAATAAGGCTATCAACATAAATCCGACTAATCAAAATACTTTTGCAGCTAAAATAAGAAATACACATCTACTATCGCTTTAATGTAACACCCTTATGTTGTAATAAACGTGTTTTATCGAATATCGAACTACAACATTTTCCGGACAAAGACAGAATGATGACTATAAATTATTAATTTGATTATTTGATGAGACAAATTCGTCGAATATAGGACCTCGTTATTTCATTGAGACACACGTGTTAGTAATGGAACGTAAATGGTTGGGAAACATATATAAGAGAAATGTTGACATTAAGCACCAATGGATTGATCTGCGAAACTTAATTTTTAGTGCTGTCATAACCACAACGCAGATATTTTTGTCCATCTTTGAATGCCATGCGCAGAAGGAACACATGGAGATACAAGTGAATGGATATTTCTCAATTGCCAATCAAATTAATTTTCTAGTGAATCCTTTTTCAGTGATTTCGGGTTTGTGTCTTTTTGTTAAAAGAAATAAGCTTTCTAAGATTTCTCACGATATTAATACGATAAGGGAATTATTAGGAATCCCAGCGCCTTCACGCAACAGTTACAAGTGGAATAGTCTCTTTGCACTGGTTTTTTTCTGGAATATTTATACGAATTTAGTAACGAGGGTTATACTATGGCTTATACTCCATCAGTTTATACTTTTTATGGCACGATGTTTATGATTTGGCTCGTTCTGCGGCAGTTTGCCGAACGCTTTGCTGTTCTCAGATTCTATTATGGCCAACTTTCGGAACTCCTGAACATCACCTGGGTTGAGAAAGATATGTTAGTGAAATGCCACGAGATGCTCGGTTGCTGTTGTACAACGCAGTGGGAATATTATGTTCTACAAATGACTTTTTTAGTCATCTACAGCTTTGTACTTTCTGTTTGTAATATTTACTTGGTGGTAGATTCCTACTCAAGAAGTGGTACTTTGGGAACTTATCATTACGTTTACTTGTTTTGGATTATTGTGTATTGTTTCTTCCTCTGGTTAATTGTGTATTCATGTGCTGAAACAAAAAATAAGGTAAGAACCCGAATTTATGTATTTCCTTATTCTATTTTCACTTAAAAATGTTTATAGACAGTTAAGAAACTAGCTTGCTACTCTCATATGACAGGGAGCAGTAGATGTCTCAATCTAATTTCAAGAGGATGAACATATATAATTGGAAAACTACTTGGGATGGTCATATGGCATTCTGCCTGGGTTTCTTTTTATTTTTATGGGAACAACGACAATGTGCCTAAATTCAGTAGGAATCCTCTTCTAGTGGATACATATCTGTACCCCAGGGATAAATGTCCATTTTTGTATTTGTTCAGGAGAGCCAATGTTCCATAACTTTGAACTATTAATTTTTGTTTTGTAGTTACTAATATTTATTTATTTAGACATATAATATTCTATCACAGGGACAATAATTATGTTGATAAATGAACACATTCACACCGTATATATAAAAAAAAAATTAAATTAACAAAAGTAAAATAATAACTAAATAATAATAAATAAAAACTATATACAATAAAAAAAATAACCTAAATACAAGTAAATTAAAAACATAAAAACAGTCACACCTATATACAATATATACAATGAGGCGGGGAACCCAAATCTCCGCGCTACTCTCTCAACCGCCTCACCGGTGCTAAAGCCGGTGGAGTTTGAGCGAGAGCGCTTTAACCACATACACTCATGTCTTGAGTGGAGAATCTGGCCATTGCCAGAACTCCAAAATAAATACTATAAAAGATCTCTGGGCCACTGCCGCTTCAACCTTCGAGGAGGGTTGTAGGGATGAGTGGAACTAGATAGGGATTGGGCTAGGGGATTTGGATGATTGATAAGCTTCTGATGGAATTAGTTACTAAATCTATACTTCGGAGGTCTAGGACACAGGTCACATTTTTATTTTCACTTATCTATATATGTAATATATAGTAAGGGAAAGTATTGCGATCGTGAAAATTTTCGAATATGAGTTTTCAACAGAAATTCACGTTGTGAGGTCCCCTGAGTCCAAATAACCAAGTCCCACAAAAAGGGCTGTGTGTATTTGAACACTCTAGCTCGAAAACATGAAGTGTCACATATATGCCTTAGATGTGACAGCAACTTTTTCCTTAAAATCGGAACCACTTAATATCAACGCTGAAACACATTTTTATAATTTTCTCAAAAACGGCTCTAAAGATTTTGATTAAACTTGGTTTATCATTGTATAATTAAGTGGTCTTTAATATAATTTATTCTGACTTCCATTCATAAATGGGTGACAACTCACTTTACATTGCTTAAATGTCCAATGTTCATATACGTCTTAATGTAAAGTACATTTAATAATAATAATACTTTATTTATTCTGGGACGAGTCCCTTTAGAATAATACAGGGCAGAAATGTGCGCTTAGGAACCTCAGAGATACATAAAAAAATGCTGAGTAATGAAATAGACATAATTGAAAATTATTAGTTACTTTCTAACTTAAATAATATAATAATAAAAAATTGAAAATAAAGTAACAATAATGAAGAACGATCTAATAATTTATATACATATATACAGTGGTATCTATTTACAATTTTATGGGGATGGATAACAAATGATTGAACAGGCGGGATTTAAAGGTAGGAAGGGTATTGGATTGACGGATGTGGGAAGGGATGGTGTTCCATAGGGATGAGGATGGAATAATGAACGATCTGTCGAAAGCAGCGGTTCAGTGGGCCCTTATGTATAAATCAGAAGACCGAGTATAGCAAGAACGAACAGAGGATTTGATTTGAAGGAGCTGTGAGATGTATGAAGGACGGTGGGATTGAATGACTTGAAAGAGGAAGGATGATAGGAAATACTTACGACGGTAGGAAGGATAAAGCCACTTCAACGCTGCATAAAACGGCTGATAGAGACGTCCCTTGGTATGCCGAAGATGAATCGTTCAATGAAATTTATCAAACGTTTTAATTTCGCCTCGACTTCATAAATTACATCATTACTCGACGCCAAATTACTTCATAAATGCGAATCGTCCTTATCTATTTTTAGAAAGAAGGAAACATAGGAAAGTAATTTGATCAAAATAATCTAGAAATGGACAATCAATACAACTGTTCCATTAATAGCCGTATCAAGAACAACATTTTATTTAATTATGTTTGGGTAAGCAATTGTTTATCCGGTCATAAGAAATGATTATTGATTTAATCGTTTGGGAACGTTTTTCAGATAAGACATAGCAGTCGGATAGAACACTCTAGTATTTTATAATAATTTACAACTTGTTATAATGGAACGAAGATGGTTGAGGAACAGACTTCCACAGATGGATGTCATCAAGACGACTTTAGCATTCGCCTTCGGTACCACTCATTTTGTCGCGGCAGCCTTCGAATCGCAATCTTCTCACCTGGACCATATCAAATCACACGTGAATGGATACTACACATTCGGACATTACGTCGATATTCTCACGGCTGCCTTTCCAGCTATTTCCACTTTGTCGCTTTTGATGAAAAGAAATAAGCTTTCTAAAGTTGCTCATGAAATTAATAAGTTATGTGAATTATTAGGAATCCGGGCGACATCATGCAACATTAAGATATGGCATTACATCTTTGTTCTGGCTTTACTTGTGGAATATTTATTCGAATTTCGGACCGATGGGTATGCCATGCTTGATTCTCCATCGGTTTATACTTTTTATTCGTCGGTATTTTTGGTTTGGGTAATACTGCGGCAGTTCGCCGAACGATTTGCTGTTCTCAGATTCTATTACGGACAACTTTCGGAACTGCTCAACATCCCGAGGGTGGAGAAAGATAAGTTGGTCAAATACCACGAGATGTTGGGCGGCTGTTGCACAACCCTGTGGGAATGCTATGTTTTTCAAATGACTATTTTCGTTCTCTACAGCTTTGTACTTTCTGTGGGTTATATTTACTTAATCATCGATTCCTACTCAAGAAACGGTATACTAACGACCTTTCATTATGTTTATTTCTTTTGGACGGTTCTGTATTGTTTCTTCATCTGGTTCATAGTGTATTCATGTGCAGAAACAAAAAATATGGTAAGAACCCGAATTTCTATATTGTATAACTTTATTTTCACTTAAACATATTTATAGACAATGATAAACACCAAACCTGGATTCTTAGAAATTTCTTAGTCTCTAGTGCTTCCCGTATTTCGTCCCTTGTGACCAAGTCAAGGAAACTGATGTATATATTTTTATCCAGATTCCAAGAGTTCTCAGTACCTTTCTTTAGTGGCGATCCTGTGTTTGTTGTTCAGGTCAGAAACCAGCTTGCCCCTCTCCTATGACCACAGGCTACGGGGAAGCTATCGGGGTAAAGCCAAACAAAAATGGTAAAATATAACCCTGTTTTATGAAAAAAAAATATTTAAAAATTATCTCTTAAAGTATTATTGTACTTCTAATTGCATTTAAGTTTCACTTCATATAAGTTGTTGGTTTCTTTTATTTTTTCTAAAGTAATTATCGTCACATATATATATAAAACCTATCGGTCTAAAGCCTCCTCCAAAATTAAATTCTGGATCGGCTAGTGCATATCATATACACTAGAGATCTCCGTACAATTTCAAGGATCGAGGTGTATTGTTAGTATTATCTATAGTTAAGGTCGAGATTATATTTTAATGTTTGTATTTTAAAAAAAAATGTCTAATTCTCAATGAAAGTAAGGCAATAATGACGCTGTTGGTTGAAAACTTTAATTAAAAAAAAAAAATTGACAACCCGAAGTACATGTGACGTTCGCAGACTACGGGAAATTTTCATGAATAAATTTTAATAATTTTGACGGGAATTTAAATACGATTTTCAAAATATATACACCTTCTAGAACCCCTCAGCTGTCAATCTGTGCCTATTGCCAAAGTTCAAAAGTATTTTTTGATTGGTAAATTTAAAATTTAAATTTTTAAAAGCATTACCACTCTTTTACAATATTATCTCGATAATGATAGCTAGCTTAAATTTAATATATTTTTTAATGTTCTAGAGGTAAGGGAATATGATACATTATGAACTAGGATGCTCAACAAATAGGAACTTATAAATAGCCATTGAAACAAATGTTTTCTTTATAAATTTTGGAATAATTACTACTACTTTATAAACAAAAAATTTCAAGTAAAAAAGATTTTTTTTTTTTTCCAAGTTAAGATTGATATAAAAATAACGGTCTAAAAATACAACATATTCTTTGTAGCGTCATTTTTTTTTTTTTTTTTACTAGATTAAGATTCTTAATTGGCTTCACTACATCATCAAATTCCTCTTGTATCCAATCTTTACAATCCAAAATCCTCAATGCTCCTTACTTTTTTACAAATAAAATAATCCATAAAGACCTTAATGATCCATTTATTTTCGATTTGGTCCAATCCAGATACCTATCCTTCCATAATAAACTTCATAACCATCCGAATCTTCTTGTTTCTAACCTTGCTTCCTCTTCGATTCATGATAACCTCCCGAGGCGTCTGAAGAGAAGATGGCCTCGTGATCTCCTCATGTAGACATATTATTAGAGTACTACCAATGGGTAGTTTCTCAAAAAGCGGTTTCACATTAAACATACAAGCAATGGTATTACAAAATACAAAAAAATATATCACTTTTAGCACTTGCGGGGATCTCAATACACAGATATTAGTATACCTCCCATTGCACGACGTTTTCTTTAGATTTTTTTCTTTTATTTAATTTTCATTTAAAAGACGTTTCTGTAATTTTTTTACGTTTTGATATAATAAACTCCTTTTTTTCCTGGTCACAAGAGACTGTTCATGCATGAGGAATGTAGATATTCTCTTAGAGTAGATAGTCTCTTTTGTACGGCCAAATATTTCTTAACTAATGCTCTTTCGTACTTCCAAGTCAGTATGATTCATTTTGATTTTAATTAGAGAATTTATATGAAAAGAACTTGCTACATTTTATCAAGTAATCTCTATTTTTTTATTACATCTATACTGAGAGCTTTAATAAAACTTTGTTTATTTTTGTTTTTGTAACTTTGTTATAGCTATTGGGTTGGTTACCACTAGTTACAACAAAAAAATTATCTGTTAAAAATAGTCACGAGTTCGCGTCCCGGTGCCGGGGGAGTCTTTTAAATCCCCGCCCACACTCCCTGGCCCGGGAAAATCCCGTATAGCCTTAACGGCGAGGAAGGGAAGGACCCAAAAAAAAAAAAAAAAAAAAAAGATAACTGTGGGTTAACAGATAAAGGAAATAAATACATGAATGTTAACGAATAAATGAATGTTAACGAATAAATAGATTGAAAATTGAATAAGTATTGTTACAGTAAAGATAAAATAAGGATAAGATAAGATAATAATAAGATATCAGTGGATAACAAGCAAGTGGAGGTTACCTTTAATTGTAAATAAACAGATAACGGGACTAAAGGTCAAGAAGTGAAGAAATTGAAAGATTAATAGGGTAACATTAGTGTAATATTGTTGGGATAGATTATTAAGTATAAATAACTCTATAAGAAAACAATAATTTTAAAAGAATACTTTAAAATGTAAGAATAAACGTAAAACAAGGTTATGATGATAAAGAAACAAAAACAGGTTGTACTATATACAGATGACAATTGACATTCAGTTATTTGAAAGCGGTAATGGAATGGTAGGCTGCATGAAGATAATAATAAAAATAAAAAAATTATCTGTTTTTTTTTTTTAATTTCACATTTACTCTCTGGTTTTTAATCAATTTTTTTACTTTATATCTAGTTATTCGAGCTAAACTAGATCTTCATATTTTTCTTCAAATCTTATTAGTATCTTCCGGTATTTTTCTTTTTGACGTTTAAGTTCCACTATTAATATTTATACTTTACCTAATCTTCGGTATGCTTTTGTTCTGTTCTTTTTCACCTTGTTCCTTCGACTTAATTTTCTGCTAAAATTTGGAACCTCGGGAGCAATACTTAGTGAAGAGATGGGAGGAAAAGTATTTCTGTCTTGAACCATAATTTTCATACGACAGGTAGCAGTAGATTCCTCTCTCCACGGCACTAGCCGTTTTTCTCTCTTTGATTTACTTTTTATCAATTTTATTTTCTCTTCCGCTTTATACTTAAAATACCGCAATCTTTCTTTATGTCTATCCTCTTCTTGGAAATTATGGTCGTTTCTTTTGCCTGCTCAATCGATATACTGCGTTTTTCTTTTCTGTATTTTTTTCAGTTGCAGCTGATTTTGATTTAGGACGAGCCACAGTTGTTCATTCAAGGGAGTAATTTATGTCATTACCGAGCCAGTAATTGGGAATGACACGAGTTGTCAACTTGGTAATGACATTTCCACATATTTTATTCGGCCCAGACCGCTGTGTAACTACTATTAAAATTATTGTTTTTGCCAACCGAAATACAACAAACGATAATCAGACATAAATTATAATGAATGAAATCGAATTAAAATGGAAGCGAGATAATCTAAGCGGTGTTAATGACAACAATAAAGGTACACCGTACTAGAAGCGCATTCGTAGAGGGAGCTTCTCAACTCGTCGGTCCATCCGCTGGTGGATGCACTTTATCTTCTTCATGGCTACCACTATAATCTGAAGAAATTTTCTCATAATTCTTTTCAACGCTTAAATTTCTGATTATATTGATAACGATATCAAAGTGATCGGACAAAGTTTGAAAAATAAATAAACGTACTTCACTGTTCACAATAGTTTAAAAAAATATATAATTCAAAATGCCTTAATTATTTTTTAGGAGTGAAAATAAATTTCACTGTCACATCACGTAGGTTTCGAAAGAAAAAAAAAAGTTTCCTATAAAACTGAGAGTGGGACAATACGCGGTAATGTAGCTTAGTAACCTAAGTAATTATAAAATCACATTATTCTTTAATATTTTAGTTTTTAATATTTCATTATAAAGAAGCAGTTCTTCACCGTATAGCAGTGGAGGGAAAAAATCAACTTAAACTAAATTAATCACGTAAAAGTTGTAATGGACTTAAAATTGTCCCTAAAATTAGAATAACCCATATTATAGATAGAAATTATCAAGGGATTTATTCCAATATTTTATGCTACATTCTTTACGGGCGAGCGTCATGGAGTACAGTTCATCGATAATTGTTAAAAGGACATTTTATTGTGATATCTTCTAGTTGAAGACCTACCACATCGAGTCAACATCACCGGACCCGGCCTATCAACATTTATCTGAGAAAACATCGCCTTCAACCTTTTGATCAGCTGGAAGCCACGATAACAAAGGTTGTACCTTTTAATTTATCAATTTAAATACTGGATTAACATTAACAATTCAATAATATTAATCAAGATTTTAAGAAGTTCATTTTATTTTAATATTTCTTTTTTTTTCTCACATATAAATTTAAATGTTTTTTTTTATTTTGTTTATTTAATGAAATTTACAACTGTATACTGATATAACCAGTAAATATGCATAACTTAGAAATAATGACATGAACGGACTTGAAGAGATACTGCATAGTGGTAGCACTCCTTAAATAATTCTAGGTAAGAAGATCACGAAGCCATCTCCTTTTCAGACGCCTAGGAGGATCATCAGGAATCGAGGAAGAAGCAAGACTAGAAATAAATGGTTTCGGATGGGACTGGAGTTTATTATGAAAGGATAGACATCTGGCTCGGCCTAAATCAGCGACATAAGCTATATTAAGGTCTTTATGAACGGTTTTATTTGTGACAAAGCATGGGGCATTAATGATTTTAGGAAGGATTTTGGATTGTAAGGATTGCATACGATAGTAATTCGATGGTTTGGTGGAGCCTCAAAGCTCAACTCTGTATATCCATAAAGGTCTTATTATAGATCCAATTGCAGGTGGTGAAGACGTAGAACCCCCAGACAAGGAAGAAATCAATGAAGCCATACAAGGATTAAAAAACAATAGAGCCCCAAGCATTGATAACATCCCTGCAGAGTTCTATAAACATGGTACTCAAGAACTCATAAAACTCCTCCAGAGAATGTTTCATGGCGTTTGGGTTGATAAAGAAGCTACAAGTGATTGGAAAGAATCCATTATATTCCCAGTGTACAAAAAAGGGGACGTCTATCAATGTGATAATTACAGGGGTATATGCCTTCTACCCACAGCCTACACATTTTTTTCAAGGATTCTTTATAGAAGAATAATAACTTATGCCGAGGCTGAAATCGGGAAATACTAGGCCGGATTCATTAAGGGTAAATAAAAAAGTCGATCAAATCATTCTGCAGAAAACCTTGCAAATCATTCTGGAGAAAACCAAAGAATACCAAATTGGTACACGTCACATCTTGATTGATTTCTAGCAAGCATATGATTCCATAAACCGTGAGGAAGCATACAAAGCAATGATAGAAATGAATGTACCTACAAAACTTGAAAGGCTTGTTAGCTGATTTTATATCCAAATTTGGATGAGTCTAGTCACTGTAGTGGTTGTGTTCACATCGTCTCCGTGCTATACAGTTTGAAAAAAGTGCTGTAGCCGATTTTGGTGAATGAATCTGTGCAATATTGATCAACTACTATTAAAGAACAAACTTTTAAAATTTACTGAGTATGACACGAGCCGATAGTAGCAAATAAGGTAAAACTTATTTTACATTTTAGCAGACAGATTAGGCAGGTCTGTAACAGGATTGTCTGGGTGGGTGAAGCCCTTTTCTTATCTATCCGGGCCTTGAACTTCAGTACCTCACTGGCCTTTAGTCGAAGCTGCGCTAATTAGAAGAACACTACATTTGCGTGTTCAATTAAAATTTAAAAAAAAAAACATTTATTTGAATACTTCCCGTTAAAACTATTGACATTTTAATTAATATCGCCCAACTCCGTGAAATATATCCTTAAAAATGGTTTGTACCAACGACGAGATTATGCAGGTTGTTAAAGAAATAAATACAAATCTGGAAAAGAATAATAAACTAATGGCCGAGGTAATTGAGGAGTTGGATACATTAAAAAAACATTGTATCCGCTTAGAGGAAAAAAATACTCGATTAGAACGAGAAATTATATATCTAAAAAGACAATTAAGGCGGAATAATCTCGTTATACATAACATACCAATGACGGAAAACGGGGATGTGTTAGATAAAGTAAATGACTCCTTAAAAACTGTCACTTTTGCATTACCAGAATATGCCGTAAACAACTGCTTCAGAATAGGAAAGGGCCCCATATTATTGTCATTAAATAACAACTCCATAAAATACGAAATATTTAAAAATAGAGATGCTCTAAAATAAAAAAAAAATTTATGTGAGCCATGACAAAACCCCCGAAGAAAGAGAACAGGGGAAAAGATTTTCAGTTACATAAACAAATTAAAGATAATTGATCCTCACGCGTCCTACAAAAAAGGTCTTTTTAAAATAAGAGGGACTTTATTCGCACTCAATGAAGTAGTAGCTCTGTTAGAGAACTTCAATGATGACCAGCAAGAGTTGGAACCCTCTCAAGCAGCAAAAAGAAAAAAAAATAAAGGAAAAATTGGATGAGTATGAGTAAAGTTCAGAAGCTCATCGAAGGATCACACCTCCACCTGACCATTTGCTTATGATAATTCGTTGTCATCTAAAATAATAATAAATGTTAAAGCTGAAAGGCCGGCGAATTTAACTGCAAACCATTTATACGAAGAATTATTAAAAATGAAGAGAAGAATAGTTGGGGTGGTCAGTCAAAAAGGAAGGCAAAAATAAATGATAATATTTATTTTTTACATATGCCGACGTTTCGACCTGAAGTTCAGGCCTTCATCAGGGCTAAGAAAATAACCAGATAACAAGGTATGAGAAAAATAAGTAATGAAGGTAAAAAAGATAATAAAAAATAAAAAAATAAAATACAAAAAATTAGAAAAATAAAATAGATGAATATAAAGTAAAATGAAGTTGTTAGAATAATGACTAAGAACTAAGAGATAAATAATAAAAACCGTTACAAAGTGTGGAATGATGAAGTAGGCATAATCAAAAAGGGTGACAAAAGTGTTACAATGGGAATCTTAGAATAGAATATAAAACATAAAAAAGAAATATGAAGTTATATAAGAAATGAAAATAAATAGTAAAATTAAAACATTGAGAATGGAGTAGTTAGATAGAAAATTGAGATATTGTAAAGTCTATCAAGATGTACAGACAATGTATAATATAATAAAGAGTTAAAAACAGAGAAAAGGAAGGAGGGAAGAAATTGAGAAAGCTGAAATAAGAATGAAATGAAAGAAGTACTACCTGTCTCCTTAAGTGTCTAGTGTAATTTTTCTAATTTTTTTTTTATTTTAATTTTTATTATCTTTTTTACCATCATTACTTATGTTTCTCATACCTTGTTATCTGGTTATTTTCTTAGCCCTGATGAAGGCCTGAACTTCAGGTCGAAACGTCGGCATATGTAAAAAATAAATATTATCATTTATTTTTGCCTTCCTTTTTGACTGACCACCCCAACTATTCTTCTCTTCATTATCCACGACAGTCAACCAATTACCAATTATGAATTATTAAAAATATTGTTCTGTAACATCAATGGCTACAAAAATTTAGTAAATCCAAGTATAGAATCAAATATAATCAAAGAAAATAAAATTATCTGTTTGGTAGAGACCTGGATACTTAATGAATTTGTCGTACCGTCCTGGCTCACTGATTACGTTGCTTACTATTAAAAACACATATAACTGGCAGAGGAAGTGGGGGATTGGCAATACTGATTCATAACAGCATAGATCACGAAGTTACCGTATTGGAAATCAACCGGATTTTTTTAAATATAAAATTAAATAACACGTTTTTAACATTGGGAAATATCTATCTCCCTCCAAATAATGATATTCTTTCTAGCATGGATGAGCTTCATAATGTCATGACTCGCATAATGTCCAACTATCCACATAGCCGCATTATCTTAACCGGTGATTTTAATGGACACGTGGGAAGTTTAAATGACTTAGAGAAAGAATTTTTGTTTGGCTCACGACTTTACAAAAAAAGATCATTGTTGGATTTACATCCACAATTTTATTGTTTTGCTATGCTATGATTTGACCTGTGTGAATAACTTGGGGGGGCCCCTGTCTCATCTTGCACTACTCCCTCTCTAAGACGGCCTTATCTTCGGCCAAAGGACAGATGCTAGCGAGCGAAGTTGGTAAAAGGACTGCTTACGACCTACCTCCTGACCAGACCTCGAGAACTGCAGCCCTTCGGCTAAATTCTGGACCCGGAACGGCGGAGAGAGAGAGAGAGAGAGAAGGCGCGAGACCGGCCCCCTCATCAAACTATACGTAAACTATTTTATATATATTCACAAGTATTCCTTCACAAAACATTTCTTTATTTTTGTATATCTCAAGAAAAGGGCTCCCGGTCATATGGCATGTACCGGGCCCCCCAATATTGAACAATCATCATATCACAAACATGTGAACCGGCGAGGAAAAATTCTGGTAGAAATTCTGGAGTCCTTGGGGATGATAATATGCAATGGCCGTAGTGTTTCAGATAGACCAGGAAAATATACTTTCGTTACAACCAAGGGGAGATCGGTGATCGATCTGGTATGTATAAATGAAAATTGTCTGGACAGATTTATAGACATGGAAGTCGTTAGCATATCAGGGCTTTTGGATCATATGGCTTGTATTACCTCCTTGAAGACCATTAGAGCACAAAATCCTCCTATGAACAGAATAGCTTCTCCAATAGAATACTTAGTTACCAACTATTCACCGTGGGATGAAGACAAAATTAATTTATTTTGTGAAAATATTTCCAACTCTGAAAAAATTTATTTCTATTCTGAAGATGTGAACCAGCTGTATGATAACTTTAAACAGGCAATGCAGGAGAACTTGTTGGGGTCAGCTTTGATATTTACGAGGAAGATGATCGCGAATACCACTTCGCAACCTAAGCACAAATGGTTTGATCAGGAATGCAGGAGAGGTCAACGAAATCTCAAGAAGTTGCAAAGAATAATGCAAAAGAACAGTTTATTGACAGGATTTATCAGAGACTACCTTCAAGCCCGAGATGAATATAGAAACTAATAAAAAGGAAAAAAATGGAGTTTAGAGCATCAGCAAGTTACAAATTTGAGAACTGTAAAAAACAGTGGAGAGTTTTGGAAGACGGTGAATATGTTGAGACCATTTCACAATCAAAATAACGAAATAAGT